CTTTCCTTTGCATTCACGTCTTGGCTAACTGGCACAAGAGGCTTAGATTTCAGCCTATCTCAGTTTTTGACATGCCTTCCTTACTAAGCTTAATCATTTTTAGCTTTTGATTTAAAAAGAGAGATGTGAAACTCTTTTACTGAAACACTTAGAAACCATTGTAGTATAATATATTGCCCTAATTTCAGTATTTTTGTGCCTCAGGAAATAGGGAGACCCAAGAAGAGGGAGAGAGATGGAGAAATGACCAGTCAGGGGAACTGTCAGAACACACACACCATTTGTTGGTCGGTCTGCTGTCTTATATCAGCGCTGTTTGTGGTTCCCCAAAATGATTTCAATGATAACAACAGAGATCACTGATCACATATCACCATAGCATATATAATAATATAATTCTGAAAGTTAACATATTTTGAGAATTACCAAATGTGACACAGAGACACAAAGTGAGCACCTGCTGTTGGAAAAAGTACATCAATAGGCTTGTATAATGCAGAGTTGCCACAAACCTTCGGTTTGTAAAATCACAATACCTGCAAAGCACAAAAATGTGAAGTACAGTGAAACGAGGCATGCCTGTAGATGTCTTTGGGACCATTAGTCAGTCTACCACAATTACCACAGGATTATCACTTGTAGCCCAGTATCTTCATGGCTAAGAAATCAGATAAATGCAACTAGTTAATGTTCGTGAAAGTATTCACCAGCAGGGCATTTCCCTAGGGTAGTAACAGGTTTCTAGTCTGAAGCCTCTTAATAGTTGGGCTATCAATCAATGGACATAAAAAAGTATAACTCCTACAATGTCGGTATTCCTGAAATAAAATGTTTTTATATTATAATGCCCCGCCTGTTCTAAAGACCAGAAGTAGCTGAGTCCTAGCAGGGGAGGGTAGGGACAAATGAGTAAGAGCATCAAAGAAACCAAGCTATAAGCATGCAACCCCTCTTTACAGCAGCAAGAATGCTGTCTGCTTTTAAATTCTATTCCAAGATTCTATGATTCTGACTAGCAACACTTTGACAAGCTATGAGAGTGAGTAAATTCTTGTATTACATAAATAATTAATGATTACTCCCTTAAAGGGAACCATGCACTGATGTAAGGTTACTTTCTCCCACATACGTTCATTCTAACACTCTTTCTATAAAGTCACTGACTAGTCAGAAAGGGTTTTTTTTTTTTTTCTTTTTAACTTCACTATGCTTTCCTAAGTGATCAATTATGATAATGGGTCTTATTAGAATTCAGGGGTAAACAGAAATGTTGAGCAAATTATACTTATTTGCAGTATTCCTAAATGCAATTTCAAATTCATTTAGGAATATGCTAAATTCCTAAATGAATTCTCATATGTTTGGGCCTATGCTGGCGAAGCAATATTAATTTTAATCTAAGTCGTTTGAAACTAAATTAGCTACCTTTGTCATCCCACCCACCGTTCACTGGCAATTCTTCACTACAGTCCAAATTTGGTTAACACTTTGATTGAATTATAGGTAAAATAATAGCTATGAGGCAGTTTTTCAATTTTCATGCAAAAAAAATTAGTTTTGGAAAATTTTGACTCAGTGCTTCACAAAATCCGCACACATGAATTAGAAAAATGGGACTAGGTTAAAATTTGAATGTTTGTCATTTTAAAAAATCTGTATTGCCTACATAAATGTTTTATTACTAGAGAAAAGAACTGAGAATTCTTAGAAAAGTAAACTTTGCAATTTGTGTTTTGAAAAACACGTCTTAATATTTTAGACTATCCCTGGTTAATAGATCCATAGTCAATAAACAATTGAATGCAGTATAGAATATCTACCTTTTAACCTTTCTGCTCTTGTGTATATTTCCTGTAAACCAATCTCACATCTCTGACTTACAACTGCCCATTGTCCTTAATATGACTTCAACCTGAGCCATTCCTCCTAATCCCTGCATTTTCCTGTGGTTATCAGGGTATCATACTCCCTCCAGGCTTCAAAGCTACGGATATCACAGTCATTCCTGAGTCGGCAGATATCAAATACTTACCTTTTTTTACTTTTAGTTTTATTTTTACCTTATTTCCAATTAGTTATGCCATCACTCTGGATAGAAGCCCTCCCCCCACTATTTACTTTGAATTCTTAAAGGGCCATTTAATTTTCCAGGTTTAATTCTAACCTTTCCATCTGTTTATCACACAAACTTTTTTAAATATTGATTTTATCTTTTTATTCACTCTTAAAAGCCCTTGATGGCTCTTCTTCAAGTCTTCACCAGTTTTTTTGAGCCCTTTTATTTTTAAATCTTACTCTACAATATAACGTTTTTCTGTAGCTCGTGCTTCTTCGACCACATAAAATTCTAATTCTTCACTGCCCCAAATTTGTTCCTCCTTTTATGTTGCTTTATTTTGTTGTGACGTCATCCTTCTATTACCATTCCATAAGTCTTAATATTATCCTATATTTTTTTCTGATTTTTGAAGCATTTCTTTCATACAAGCATAAAATATCAGTCTGACCGTCATGGCTGAAAGAGAAAGACCAAGCTATTAAAGTAAAACTCATGAAGTGCTCTGTGTGATAGGGGACTGAGTTTTTGATATTAATCAGCCTTTGCATGTAATTCAGGTAAGTTATTAGATGAGATCATTGTGGCTAATTTTGCTGACAACAATTATCTAATATCGGGATAAGATTTTGGCTTCAGCTTTGGAACGATATTTGTATTCCTTCATTTTCATGACATCTTTATTACTAAAAGTGACTTAAATGTAGCCAAAGGATTTGAGTAAACACTTGTTTTCAATCCATTCCTCAGTCATCATTTAACAAGATTAAGTTTACTCTATATTTCTAAATTTTTTGGTATCACTAAGATTTGTCAGTTAAATGAATCTATAAAATGTATTTTACTACCAAAAACATATGTAGCAAAATTTTATAATTTCAAGAAACTGTTTAAAAATTAGAGTGGAGGCTATCTAGTTTTTTGTTTTTTTGTTTTTTGTTTTTTTTTCAAAATTTCAGAATCATCATTAAAAGATTACTAAAGTGAGAACGCTGAAGCCTACCTAGGGAGTGAGTTTTAAGCTATAATATGTGTTGACTATATAGACTATAGCCCTTAGTATTTCAGATATTCACCCAATAAATTTCTAAAAAACTATTTGACCGTTTCCTGGGTACACCTTATGCAAACATAGGCACTGCAGCTAGAAATGAACATTTTATCTCCTCTATCAGCAATGATCTATCATTAAAGTCAGTATGATGGAAATTGTTTTGAAGAATACAAGTAGTTACACCTGGAATTTACAAAATTGCTTTGAAACTGCACTCCCCCTTCTTTCTACAAATTAACTCCTCTGATGGATTTTTTTTTTCCCCCCGGTAGCCTTTTCCTGCTCCCTCAAGCTATAATTAGTCATTGAAAATTGTCTCAGTGCAGGCTTGGAAGACGCTATAAACTCTGGACATAGTTCTTTCTCCTTGTTAAGAAAAGGCTCTCACTGAGTGATAAAATCTCAGTAACCTAATGACCAGAAAGTGATTTTAGAACATCATGTCCAATATTCCTTTTCAGCAGGCTGTAATAGTAGCACAGGTACAAAATTATTAGTATTCTTAAAAAAAAAAAAAAGACACTTGTAAAGCAGAAGCACAGCTAGTACACCCAGAACAGAACTCAACTAATTGTGCACATTTTGGTTAAAAGAAAAAATAATCCTTATTTTGATAAGTATTTTGTGTCTTCATGCAGTTATAAAACTAAACTATGAAGGTAGATAAAATCAAAACCAGTCATTCAAAATGTGTTTATAGTTGCATTGCAGCTCACGTCTAGTCTCAGGCTAAAGCGGCATTTAAATGCTAGGTATTTGATATCTGCAATTTTGAGAGAAAATGCTGAATCAATTTAAAATAGCTTCAAACATGTAGATATTTATGTGGGAACTAATTGGCATGAACAAGAGGGAAAATTGCTGAAATGACTTACATGTGCCTATTTATAAAGCCTGCTGGGTTTCAACTACATATTATTCAATGCTTTGTTGTACCTTTGTGTATCTTATTCATCAATCGCAACTAAACCACCAAGATTTTGACAATAACAAACATGGAATGTATCCCACTTACTCTGTATCGTTGTTATGAAGAAAGCAATATAAAAGAAAACAAGTAAAGCCTATAAGTCACAAAATAAAGTGAGCAAATCAGTGTGACCAGAAGTAGAACAAATCTCTTCAGCAGTCCAAACTCAGAAAATCAGATTTTTCTGTGTCCTAATCTGGGAATTCAGCTTTACTAAAGCTAAATGCTTAAGTCTTTGCCCTCAAACACAACACCTTTTAATTCATAATTGCTGAACATTCTGCCATTGCTAATTCTTGCTGAGGCTCACCCTGGATGGACCTGACATAGTGGGAACTGATTTCCATGTAATGTATGATATATATCCTCCAGTAGAATCCAAACGTTTTATTTTCTATTGCAGTATCATTCTGGCATGTAGAAAAGTGCTTCGTAATAAATTATTACTAAATTTTTTAAAAGTAATAATAAAAATTCTAGAGTGCCAAAATGATCTCCCTAAAATTGTCAAACTGATCTTAATCATTTTCTTTTAAATAAATCAATGTGTAATGCATAATATTTTATGTTTTAAAGAAAATTAACAAGATAAAATTACCAGGATATGTGCTTCCATAGATACACAGCTAATGAAATAATATAAAGAAACTTTTAATAAAACTGTCATAGAATATGTAGTAGATAAACTACGCATACACAGCAACTAGATAGAATCAAGCAGATAGGTAAGCCAAACAAATTATACTTTATGAATTTAACTTATACAAGAATAAAAAAGTAATCAGAGCTTTAGTGGATGAAATGTAATCAGGGTATTATACTATAAAGTAAAAATAAAACAACGTTTCAAGGTATGAGAAATGGAACAGAATTTGGTAGTAGAATGAGGAGACAAACTATCTGATTAAAGAAGTCTCAGGAAGACTATACTTTCAGGGAGCATTTTTTTCGTTTGTTACTGGAAAAGTTTCCCTGAACCTGGAGAGCACCAGAAACCGTGAGGAGGAGGGGCAGCGCTCTCTCCCTAACTTAAAGCTAGCTCTTCATTTTGCTTTGCTGCGACTGCTTTTTGCCATTGATGATCGTTCTCCTCTTGCTCCTGGGGAATAAGAGGGAGAAGATGCAGTCTGAATGGTTCCCATTGACATTTTTTTTATAAAGAAGTCTGAGAAAGAAAAAAACGTATTGGAAATAAACAAGAATTGAAGAAATAACAAATCAAAAAACATTTTAGTTTGGATGGAAACTAAAATTGAGTTGCAGATGCGATTCATTGCTTCAGTTGTTCACTCTCTCAACAGTTGTTTATTCAGCAAATATCGTATGCCAGATGCTTTTGTAAGTGCTGGGGATACGGCAGGAAGTTCATGTAGTTCGTAGGGAAAGACAGGCTAGAAACAATAAGTCCAAGATTATGGAAAGACACTGTCTTAGTCTATTTGTGCTGCGATAGCAGACTAATTTACCACAGACTGATATTATACAGAATAGAAATTTATTTCTAACAGAGGCACTAGCTGGGAAGGCTAAGATCAAACCACCAGCCGATTTTGGTGTCTGGTGAGGGCCTGATCTCCACTTCCAAGGAGGTGCCTTGAACCATGCATTCTGTTGAAGGGAGGAACTTTGCGTCCTCACATGGCAGAAGAACAAGAGAGAGCAAATCCACTCCTGCAAGCCCTTCTTACAGGGGCATGAATTCATTTATAAGATCAGAGACCACATGACCTAACGCCTCTCATGAGAATCCACCTCCCAACACTGTTGCATTGGGGAAAACATTCAAACCCTCGCAAACAGTGCATTGCAAGGGTTTAGAGAGTATTGAAAAGGTGCTTTTTTGTTCTGTAACGTTATTTTCTTTTCCTCTTGATGTGACTTGTACAGAGAGCAATGAGTAAAAGCCTCCTTTAACCCAAAGAAAACGTACAAAACTAACATAGAACTTTAATTTCTATATTGAAAGGTCCTACCATGTATCCAAAAAAATTGACTTTCAGTGATTTTTGCACTCCCCTGCGTTTCTTTGTCCCTGTCTGTCTTCTTTATTCTCTGTACTTTCCATTTTATAGAAGTGGATGTTTTGCTACTTGGCATAGATCGATGACAGATGATAGATAGATAGATTAGCTAGCTAGATAGATAGAGAGAGAGAGATAGATAGATGAGATAAAGAGAAAAATAACTGTTATGTATACGTAATTATTATATCTTTATGTCTTTAGTGTAAATTATGACTTTTTTAGTGTTTAAACATGGCCTAAATTTTAGGTTTCATAATTTTTGAATTGAATATTACTTGACTGATGCAAAGATTGCAATCTGTGATTTTATGTTACTTCTTTTTGCTTGATATACTTCTGTATTTTTCTTTAGTGTAACTCAGAGCTCACATACACATTCCCTTATGAAGCATCCAGCCTTAGTGGTTTCTCTCCATCTCTCTGTGGCTCTTACCCACAATTCATTAACTTCGAATTTTATGCAGTATAATTTACTCCATTTTAACCTCTGATCCCAAACTTGCACATCCAAATCTTCAAAGTGGTCAGATTAACCAAATCTTCAAGTTGTTAAGATACATCCTCCTTAGAGTATGACAGTATCTGTTATAAAACGTATACTTTGTTCTCTCTGTTTTTTCTTTCTCTCTCTCCCACAAGGTCAGTTTCATGGTCATGAAACTTGTACAGTCACATTGGTCTCTGTGCTCAGAAGGATCTAATACTTGGTTTAATGTTCTCTTGTCCCATTCTTAAAATTCTTAATACTTTAACAAAGGGTCCTGCGTTTTTATATTGCACTGGTCTTTGCAAATTGTGTAGATTGATCTGCTCTCTACCCTGCTTCCTTCTTCTCTCTCTCTCTCTCTCATACACACACACAAACACACACACACACACACACACACACACACACAGACACATACACACACACACAGAAGGAGGGTTTGGCAGACTAAAAACTCATAGTTGTGAGCCTGTAAAATTGAAGCAACAGTGTTATACCAAGAGAAATGTACAGAATGATCTTTTATGGGGAGGTAATGACATGTATGTTTATACTTAATCATGTTGTTTCAGATCCCAGGGAGGCCTGTTATCTAAAATACGAAGTCTTAAAAAGAATAAGAGAACCAGCCATGCTTGGCAAAAGTTCGGAAATATTACTATGTCAATTTTATACCTACAGAAAAGTTGAACTATAAAACCTATATGATTTTGGGAGAAATTTCAGTAGTAATTAATTGTGAAGGGTTTGAGTTTCTTTAATAAAAGGCAAATTAGTATTGACTTTATGCATGTAATTCCAGAAATTTTTTCTTTTTTTATCATTACGTGCACTTACATATCAAGTCTCATGTGAACTAACTCTATGTAAAATTGAAAGTAATGTTCTAAAGTATGCAAACTTTAGAGAGTCTGAGTCATCTTCTATTGTGCCGATTTCCAGCTACTCTGTTATTTTTATATCGTTGCTAAGTGCTTTTCCATCTAATTGCATAGGGACTGATTTGTTTTGCAACCTCTGTTTAGAGTCAGGCTTTGTTCTCTTCACTGTGGACACCATTCTGGCATTGTTTTCCTGTTTCCATAGTTTCACAGAGCATATTTGATCACAAGCATTTTGTAATTCAATTATCCTCCCCTCACTCCTCCCATATGTAAGCGATAGTACACTTTGGCTCTAAATATATGCTTGCAACAGCTGCTTTGCAATGTTCATTGCAAAAGAGCGAAACAGAGCCCAAACAGCTATGTTACTAAACCTCACACATAAAATAGTCATACTCAATTAAAGACAATAGTAATCAAAGTGGAAATAGAGAACATATGCGATTCAGAAGCATTAGGGTAACTGTAATTCCCATAGCCTTTCATAAACGTATATGGTGATTAATTCAGAACATCATGAAAAAATGCATACCTCCTTTGACAATTCACATAATACTTTTTATAGCTATATGGATTTAGGCTGTGGATTATCTCACCCCAAGAAATGTATAGCACAAGGTCTAAGTAGAGTGAATATGTTGTCGTATTAGGAGTGATACATGGTATAAAACAAAAGGAAAACCTTTTAATCATATTTCCAGAGGTCTTCTTTTTAGAGACCTTTATGTACTAAGGCTCTCTAAACATAAAACTAGAAAAGAGAAAGAAAATGTACTACAAAAATTAAAGAAAATAATTGATAGAGCCAATCTATAGCTTAAATGTATTTGTCATGGACAGGATAAATTAATGAGTGAAAAGAAAATAAGATCGTTGGTTCAACTCTTAATGTCACCTTACATAAACTCCATTTGATAGCCTTATCTTGAAAAATTGTTAATTTTTTTCTAAACAAATTGTGGAAGAGTGTACAGCTGAAAAATAGGGAAAAATGTCTAATAAGTAAAAAAATAAAAACGTAGTGCATAAATCCTGAAAATAGAGTCTCTAGACTTTATGACTATCTGAGTAGGCTAAGAAAACAATTATTGGCATTCATGGCAATCAAAGCAGTAAGAATTTGAGGGATCAAGATCTCCAAAGTAAAAGGGAACTTTAGAGAAATGGGCATAACATTCTGTGGAAAATTTCCCCTTTGAGGCACTAGCTGAATGCCAAAATTTGCATTTGAAGAACACATTTCTGAGAATACAAGCAGAAATCAACTGCTGAGATACCAAAAGTTTAGGCAGATATTTTGTCAGTATTTTGGTATTGGGAAGATGAAAATTAGAATGTAAGATTATTACAAAAGAAGGAACTTAGGGTGCAGTGGCTCACTCTTGGAATCCCAGCTCTTTGGAGGCTGAAGCAAAAGGATCACTTGAGCCCAAGAGTTCAAAACCAACCTGGGCAACATAATGAAACTCCATTTCTACAAAAAAAAAAAAAAAGAGAGAGAGAGACAAAAAAAAGGACTTACAAAAATCTCAGGCCTTTAGTTGAGACCCCTGAAAAGGCAACAACTATAGAGTAAGAAGCAAACTAAAAACAGAATAACCGCTGCTGAAACAAGGTAATCTGCACATACTTTCATAGTCCCCAAAGGAAAAAAGATATCATTGAGAATGCCAGCAATTTTTCAGTTATAACTGGGAATCAGTCAAAATTTATCAGACATGTCAGGGAACAGAACCAAATGACAGAGAAATGTATGAGAAAAAAGTAAAAGTAGAGCAACAGAAAATCAAAATATCTGAGGTATCAAGAATAAACTTAATATGTTCCAAAAATAAATACAAAATGGAATATTTTCATCAGAGAATTGGAATTTAATTTAAAAATCAAATAGAAATCAGGGATCTTACGAAATACTCAAATTAAAATATAGATGAATTTAACAATAGATTAATGATTAACTAAAATGGAAGAAATTTGCCAATAGATTCACATATTTATATACATTCAAAATATATATTTTGAAGCAAGTAAGTAAATTAAATGAAAAATAAAGTAAGAGCTATGTAGATAGAACATAATTGAAAAAAAGGCTCATGCAGGTGTAACTGGATTCCAAAAAGGAGAAGTGACAGAGGAAAAAAAATAGAAGTATGAGAAGAAAAATTGGCTAAGAATTTCCCAACTAATGAAAGGAATCAGGTCTTTGGAGCCAGCCATTCAAGAAACTCTATGAAGCACAGCCCAGCTATAAACAATATAATAACAACTATTATATAAAACTGCTAAAAACTAAAGCCAAATGAAAATCTTGAAAGCGTGCATATAAAATACACATTAGTTTCAAATGATTAATAATATGATTAGAAGCTAACTTTGAAACAACACAATGGGAGACAGAGAACACTTACAGTGCCGAAAGAAAATGACTGAATCTATATTTATAAAATGATATCCTTCAAAAAGGAAGGCTAAATAAAGTCCTTTTTGGCCAAACAAGAAGTTCAGAGAAGCTGAGGTCAGCACACTTTTTCTAAATAAAATGCCAAAGATAATTATCCAGGCAGAAAGAAAATAATCCCTAAACAAAGCATAATAGTAAAGGAAAAATACAAAGCACCAGGAGGGAGAAACATCATAGCATATCAAAACCAATACTAAATGTTAGAGCATATTAATAACAACAATAATAATATATGTAGTTCAAAATATATGTTGAATTAATATCCATATTATTGATCGTG